CATCCCATTTCTTCAGATGGGGTTTTTGACCACAAAGCGTACAATGAGAAAACTCTCTCGAAAATGCTAAAGGCGAAAGCCAAGGCAGATAAGGCAGCTGCTCGAGCGGCTTCGCAGGCTCCTCTCATGGCGGCGTTGTTAATTGCGCCACCTCCCGCTCCGTCACCTACACCCGAAGAACAATCCGCGCCAGAACCCACGGCAACGACTTCAAGTGCACCAAGCAATCTTGTTGTCGATCGCACAGAACTACTGCGTTCAAAACCAGCTGTTGTTGGAAGGTTCATGCAGCTTACAGTACCTATCCTCATCGATGTCTATGCCGCAAGTGTGAATACTCCTGTGAGAGTAAAAACGCTGACGGGCTTGCTCAAAGCTGCGAGCTTTCTAGATCCAGATGGTCTCAAGCAAGTTTTAACGGTATCGAACGTCTTTCCTATTGAAGACAAGTCGCCACTGACCATCTATATTTAGTTTGTACCTGTCGCAGGTTTCGCGTCTTCTATTCTTTCATCTCGCGACCATCCCACATTAGTAATTGGCGCGCTGCAACTCGTAGATCTCCTTTTGTCCAAGGTGCCTTCTTTGTATAAGCCCACCTTCCGCAGAGAAGGTGTCTTTCATGAAATAGAAGCTTTGGAAGCTCGTACGTTGGCTTCTTCAAAGCTGAAAGAAAAAGAAAAGGCAGACAAGGAAAAGGAAAAAGATTCTTCAGATACAGGAGCCCCTGATGCCACTACTTCAGTCACCGCATCGTCTTCATCCTCAGCACCGATAATTCCTGCGTACAAAAGGATTTCATCTCTCGCGCTTGATCCAGAGGATGCTATCACTCTGCGAGCTCGAATAATGAAGTTCAAGTACTTGTCTGGCGATGATCAAGCAGAAAGTGATCATACGCTCCAGTCTTTGAAAACTCTTGTTGACCGCATTAGTCCTCCGAACGCTACTGAACAAGAATTATCCGAAGCATTATGGGATCTTACAACGCTATTTGCCTCTCCCCATACGTCTGTTTCAAGCTTCGAACTGCTACAAAGCGGTCTCGTGGACGGTTTACTCAAATTCGCCACTGATACGGATCGAAAAGGTAATCACTTTGAGGATTTCTCATAAATATAGTTTGAGTGTTGAACATACTTCCTACAGTACCCGTCACTCGACGCAAGGAACTTCTTTTAGATTCTTTGGTCAGTCGGAAAAGCAAGACTCTGACAAGTTCGCAGACACCTTTTTCCACATTTGTCAAGAAGTTGCAAGAAAGTTTCACCAGAATGGAAACTTTCGACGTTATAACGATATCTCAAGGCTCTGACGGCAAGTCGTTATATATCACTGGCTTGTATCTGGCTCAACCCTTCCTCAGATTCAAAGCGTAGTTCCCCTTCGTTACTCGCCCGTCAGTTGCGCCTCCGCTTGATTGCCGAGGAGGATTCGGGTGTTCCTCGAAATTTACAAAATATAGTCGTATCCATACATGCTATCGCCACGTTCCAAGCGCTCCACGACTATCTCCGTCCAAGAGTAGCAGGTGTGTTTGGTGGTAGTGGCTCTCGATTGTCAGGTATGCTGGCTGCTTTGGCAGCCTCAGGATTCCCGGGATCGTCACGGGCTAGTGGGTCTGGAGAACTTGGCAGATTGGAACCTTCCCCGCCAGCATCAGCACTAGTGCCAGAATCATCTTCTACACAGGACAGTATTTCGAACACGATGACTCGTCGACGTAGTCAACGCCTCAGCGCGAAGAAAACCGGCTCAATTTCAAATGCTAATGACTTGGATGCTCCTTCCACGGATGCGCCAGTTACGGATGTCGATATGCCATCTACCAGCACCACTAATGAGCCTGAAGTGCTTCCTCCTGCTGCAGCAGCAGAGTCAGCGGCTAGTGAGACCTTGGTCGATTCTGAAATGCAGGCTGATTTCTCGGACGAGGAAGTAGATGCAGAAGTATTTGATGAGGAAGAGGTTGAACCTGATCATTCAATATCGGATAAGACGGTCTCATTATCTGTCGCGGAAGACGGCTCCAAGGTTGAAGCTCAAACTCCAGATGGAACGCGTGTAGCGACACCGAACCCCAATATATCTGTGAATCAACTAGCTTCATCATCATCGAAACCTTCTACTTCATCCCGGCCGTCCTACGCCTCTGCTTTGAAAACGAAACCTCTGGACTGGCATCTAGAATTTGCGATGGACGATCATGTTTTACCTTTAGATCTCACGATTTACGGAGCTATTCATCAGCATGAGATGAGGAAAAAGGCGGGTCCTACGCCTCCCAATCTTTTCTGGCAAGGCGTGTACACAATCAAGTTTAAGAAGGTACCTGGTCCTGCTCCAGCTTCTGATGGTGAGTATTTCATTTTAATAACAGCACCGGAAACAAACTGCTATGATAGCCGGTTCTGAGTCGGGCATCAAGCCGCGTTCCTCAACGCCGCCACTCTCTTCTCTTGCCGAAGATGCACCGCATGCAAAAATACTTCGGTTGCTTCGTGTTCTATATCAGCTGAACACTCTTGAAGCTGAGGGCACGCTATTCAATGGTGAAAAACGAAACTTGCCGGAGACAGCGTTCGTGAATAACAAGCTGAGCGCGAAACTCACTCGCCAATTGGAAGAGACGATGATTGTTGCTAGGTTTGTACTTTCAATGCAAATGAAAGGCTGGCTGCTTACATGAATATTTTCATCTCCTCAAGCTCCTGTCTGCCTGACTGGGCTCTTGATCTCCCTCAACATTTCCCCTTCCTCTTCCCCTTTGCAACCCGATACCACTTCCTTCAATCCACCTCTTTCGGGTATGCTCGCCTCATTCTCAAATGGCAGTCACAACAAGCCAGGGGAGGCCAAGATAACTCTCGCAGAGACGATGGGATCGGGTTCCTTGGACGACTGCAGCGCCAAAAGGTTCGCATCTCGAGAAAACATATCCTTGAAAGTGCTGTGAAAGTTTTCGAACTCTACGGGTCGTCCTCTTCGGTGCTGGAGGTGGAGTATTTTGAGGAAGTGGGTACAGGTTTGGGGCCGACTCTGGAGTTTTATGCACTGGTGTCGAAGGAATTCGCGAGAAAGGATCTGAAAATATGGAGGGACTCTGATCATGGTGCTCCTGGAGCCGACGCCAGTCCTTTCGTCCATCACCTGACTGGCTTGTATCCTGTCCCGATTGGGACGGAAGATATAGCTAATGATGGCGGACAGTGAGTGTTTATTCTTCTTCACTATTGGTTTGAAGCTGATTGATGACACCTAGGAAACGTACACATATCTTCCGTGTTGTTGGGCAATTTGTGGCAAAGGCACTCTTGGACTCGCGGATCATCGACCTGTCGTTCAACAAAGTTTTCCTCAAGCTTGTGTTGGAAGAAGAGGTTCCGATGACTATTGCAACGCTCAAGGTCTGTGTCTCAGCTTCTTTCGGATCCAGTTATGACTGAACTTTTTCTTCTGTGTAGCTCGTTGATGCCGACCTGGCCAACTCTCTGACGAAACTTCTGAGTATCGCTGCTGCATCCGATAAACAGCCGGCTTTGAACGACAAGGTACGATTCACTTTCGCCTTCATTTATGGCTCACGTAGATTGACATTGTGAATATCTACATAGCTTGCGAAAAAGTTGGCCTTAATCGAAGAGTCCGTCACTGTCGAAGACCTTGCACTTGATTTCACGCTTCCAGGGTATGATATTGAGTTAAAGGTGCGTACTTGCTAGATCTTCATTTGAACATGAACATGAACATATTCTTTGCCAGCCCTCTGGAAAGGACATTGCTGTGACAACAGCCAACGTGCAAGAATACGTTCAACTCGTCCTCGACGCTATACTAGGATCAGGAAGTGCTTTGCAAGCCAAGGCGTTCAGAGAGGGATTCAGCAAGGTTTTCCCCATTGGTGATCTCCAGGCTTTCACTGTAGAGGAGCTTGTGATGTTGTTTGGGAATGGAGATGAGGATTGGACCGTAGAGAGTAAGTTATTCTCTTGGACGATGAATAAATTTGCAAGATCTAACGTTCTTTCATCTATGTCAGCTCTCGGAGAAGCTCTCAAAGCAGACCATGGGTTTAACCCCGAAAGCCGTGCCATCCGGGACCTCATGGAAATTCTGGCAGAGTACGATGCTAGTACGAGGAGGGACTTTTTACAATTTATCACCGGAAGTCCGAAGTTACCTATTGGAGGTTGGTCTCTCACTATTTCCTCTCTTTGATTTTTGAAACGATGTCGCTGACGATGCAACACACCAACCCAGGTTTCCGAGGCCTCAATCCTCAACTTACCGTTGTTCGCAAGCCACACGAAGCACCGCTTACTGCAGACGATTATCTGCCCAGCGTGATGACGTGTGTGAATTACCTCAAGTTGCCGGAATATTCAAGCAAGGCGGTCATGAAGGAGAAATTGGGTGTGGCGATTAAAGAAGGGTTGGGTAGTTTCCATTTGTCGTGAAGAGTGAATGATGAATGTACGGCGATCTGGACTATGGGGAAAGTTGTGAAAGGAAGAAGATGAAATGGATCTTCATCTTCTTGAAGTGGGACGATACAAACGAATGTTCGGAACTGTACAAGTAGATTCATGCGACAAAAATACTTCCCCCCCCCTTTTTTTTCTCTGACACCTGCTCTCCGCTTCTTTGTGTGTTTTTCTTTTTCTCTTCCTTTGCCGAATACGTTTCGCACTAGCTTCTTTGTTTTCTTTCTTTCTTCTCTGCGCTGCCAGTTTTTCTTTGTTTTTGAATCTGATAATTGTTTTCCACCTTCTCTCCAGTTACAGTTAGACATTTATTTACAATAGCTAGTATATATGCATATACATCCCCATACACAAATCACAAATCCATTTTTCTATCTTTTATGTTCATTCGAGGCAACTTCTGTGAACAAAGAGGCACATGGAATGTGCGACCAACACATTCGCACTAAAAAAACGCAGTATATATAATCTTGTCCGAGTTGTTCCCAGAAAAGGACAAAAATCTAATAACATGCAAGGTCTAACCAGGACTCGAACCTGGGTTACGGGAAATGGAGGAGCTATCAAAATCCCGTGTGATAACCTCTACACTATTAGACCATACAAGTCTAAATTATTACAGTGTATGATAGAATTTTACCAGCCATTGTTTCGAGTTGTAGATATATAATTCGGATAATAACGATAGAACAAAATAACATAATACGAAGCTCGAGTACAAGAGTAAATACGAGTACGTGAAGTATGAAGTATGTACAATTATCGATTGTCTGTCGTCAAGAAGTGAAGAGATCGTCAAGCGACAAAGTAGAAAAATAAAAGAAAGTCGTTATTCTGGGAGACGTGGATCAAAGAGTGACTGATTGCTGAAGGGGAAGGCAGCATAGTCCTTTTGCACGGAGGCATGAGCAAGAAAGACATGACAATTTCATCAAGGAGCCCTATCTGCTTCATGACTTTCTTACCGTTTCTCCCGCGCTCCACTTCCACTTCCGCCCGCGCCATCAGGAACCAAACTATCATAAGTCGGAGGGATCTCCTCTGGACCCTCTTCCTCCTCCCGTGGCATCTGATTTTCAACCCTTCCCCCATCCTGATGAACCAAAACATCCCTCGGAGGTCTTGCTGCATTCAGTGCAGCAGTTGATTTCTCTGAACGACGAGGCATAGAGGTCGGATTGAACCCTCCAACGAAGGAAGAAGGACCTCCTCCTTCAGCATCGGGATTGGCTACGTTGAACCGGCCGTAGCCTGGATACCCTTGACCAGGTGCGCTGGTATTTGTATGTGTTGAGGTGGAGATAGTGCTTCCGGGTGCAGGTTGATTTTGATTTTGGTAGGGATTGGGTAAGCGTTCGCCTGCACCAAAGCCATAAGGAGTGGTGCTGGTGCTTCCCGCGACTGAGGGAGCTGTTAGAGCTCGTCCTTGATCTCCATACGCAGCGGCATACACCGACGCAGGAAGGCCGCCCTGACTGCTCGACTGACCTTGACTTGACATGCCCTGACTGGAAGAGGGATAATTAGTCGACACACCCGTATGTTGTGCGGACATTTCCGGAGGACTTGGAGGAGAATGTTGTTGTTGTGAGTTTGTTGGATGATACAACGGATATGGAGCGACTACTCCTGCACCGAGTGTTGATCCAGCTAACCTTCCGCCCATTCCATCATCCTCCATGCCATTATCCGCTCCATTTTCTACATGAGGTAAAGTAGGTCCCTGTCCTCTGAACGCTTTTGGCTCGCCTTTCATTGGCTTTGTGGTGACGATCCTATCAGGATCAAAATTACCATCAAAAGCGTCTAGAGACTTTTGCTTCCTTTGGGATCTTTTCCACCATAAGCCGACCAACACAAAGAGGAGGATTAGTGCGGCACCACCACCTACTGCTCCACCTACTATCGCTCCGGTATGAGAATCCGATGAAGAATTAGAAGAGTCGGAGGAGCTGGAAGTCACCGTGGCCCCTGGAGGTAAGGTGGTAGAAGTTCGCACAACGGTGGTGAATACTTGTCCATCTGCAGAAGTGGATACGACGGTAGTTGTGATATCGGTCGTTAAGGATCCTGTTAGGGTAGAAGCCGAGGAAGTAGGAGTGGCAGATGAGCTTGGTGGAGTGCTCGATGTTCCGGAACTCGAAGCAGAAGCAGAAGTTGATGAAGAGGAGGTATCGGGTGAACTTGATGTACCGGATGAAGTAGAGGTATTACTGGTATTACTGGTGGTAGAGGTGGTAGAGGATGTGCTACTGGTACTAGCGGAAGTATCAGAGGACGATGGAGATGAGGAGGAGGCGCTTGTGGCCGAGCTTGCAGATGCACTCGACATGGTGGTAGAGTACAGGAAAGTTTTAAACGGTTTGCTCAAGGCCGCCACGGGCTAAACACGCCGTATCAATATAAGCATTTATACATTTTGTGGTACAATGTGGTCTAATAGTGTAGAGGTTATCACACGGGATTTTGACAGTTGTATTTCCCGTGACCCAGGTTCGAGTCCTGGTTAGACCTTTTACAAGTTGGCGTGTCTGCTCATACTCCTCTTTTTGTTAAATGAATGCTGGAATATGCTATGTAGTCATACAAACAACCCGTGGCAAGGACAAGATTAGAGGTGTTCAGCACCTTTATCCCGACTCGTCTCGCACTGTGCGAGACGAGTCGGCAAAAAGGAGTCGCACATTCCAACAGCAAATGATGTTGTTTTCTGATATGCAAGATCTACAAAGTACAGAAGGTTGCAGGTGTGTATGTGTTACGAATCTTCCGACTTGGCCTCCTCTTTCACACCGTATTTAGACGTATCTACGCCATGATGGGGGTGATTAACAAAGTTAAACCTGTAGCACAAAGTAGAGGTTCAGTCGTACAAAATTTGTGAAGGAACCGAAGAGGATCACTCACATCGGGAAAACAGCTGCACGTCAAATGAATCGGTGGTAGAAGTAAGTCGAATGGTCAGTAAACCATGTATAAACATATGGGTATGGACGTACAGAATTTAAGTTGTGAAAAGACAGAGTTTCGATGAGCAGCACCTTGTACCCAAGGAGACTGAGGCGACTCTCCATAGAGCGGTTTGCCTTCCTTCGCCCGTTGAGAAAGTTCAGCAAAGTCCATTTCTTCCTCCCGCTTGTTCTCTGCCCAGCCATAAAAACGCACTAAAACGACGACGGGTTGGCGTCAAGAACAGGTGGGTCATTCGATGATACGTACTGCTAGAATTCTGATATGCCAGCATAAATCCACCACAGAAACCAAGGAACGCTGCGACTTTCATACCCGTCACCATCCTTCTCGTCACAATCTGGACTGCGTTTCCGACTGCAATTCTGCCTGAAGGAAGCTTTTCACCTGGCGCAAGGGTTATTCGGTTGACCTTCAGTCCATTTGGGTCGGCCATTTCTAGATAGCATCGAACAAACGATAGTCAGAGGATTCTTCGAGTCAGTAGATTGGTGCTTACCCCAAGCTAGGAGCGCGCCCGGAACAGCGACAGTTGTTGCAGCCCAGGTAGCATAGTCGCTAGCTCTGAAATATCGTACCACACGAGAGAAGTGAGGGTCAATGTCAAGGACAGTATACGGTGTCTCCAAGACCTTTTCAGGCATGACTGGAGTTCGAGAAGCAATGTGACAAATGCGTTACACTGTCACTCCCAAATGCGTTGTTCAGGGCCGGTGTAAACCGGTTTACTTTGCGCCTTATACTTAATTGTTGTCCTTGTTCTTTACTCTGCTTTGCATTGACTTTTGCTTGGAGCGAGCAACATACGATGAGCGGGCCTACCCGTAACAATAGTCGGTCTGCCAATCGCCTGACGGACTCGTCGCCCTATACACGCTCAGCACCCAAGAAATCGGTGAATATATCGTCATTTTTCGTTTAATTTTTTGACTGAACTTTTCTCGTTCTATCAGTCAACGTCTTGGTCCATCTCGAATTTTCTGAATTATCTCAATCCCTTGGGCTTGACGTATCGGTATAGGGTGTCTAATAGCGTAGATGAGAGAGACCGTGCAGCCCGAGAAGCAGCAGCAGAATCGCTCTCTTCTAGAGGTCATCAGGTAAGTTGTCTACACAGTTTCCATGGCGAATGAATTCTTATAATGTTTTCAGATCTCTGAATCGAAGGAAAAACAGTCTCCGGCTCCTCTAGAACGTGCTCAACCTCCCCCTGCTTCAGCTGACACCTCTATCGCCAACGAACGCCACCTTTGGACACGATATCAGCCCAGAGTCACCACAAAAAGGGTTGGATTATCTCTCAAAATACCTTGGTGATCGTCCCAAGGACGAACCGCTTAGCTCAACGGAAGCCGAGGAACTCATCTCCCTCATCAAGAAAAGTACACCTGGTAAAGCAGTAACCCTTATCTACATGTTCACAAAAAAGCTGACTCGTTAGCCTCGTTTTTTCCACCAGTTGAGGAACACGAGACTTTCCGATTCTCCAGCAGCAGTCCGTCTACACCTCTCAGAGGAAACTCTCCTCTGTTCCCTTCAATCAGCACCAACTCGGTACCGTTCTCCTTCTCCCCTTCGTACGTCAATGCGCCCTCTACTCCTTCTCCAAGCAAACCACTCCTGAAACAAAACCCCAACGGGTCATACCGCTGGGACGGCGGTGGCAGCGCGAAACAGAAAAATGGTCGTTCACGGAATCGGTATCATTCTCCTGCATTTGGTCCTTCACCCAGGTCTTCTGGCCGTCTCATTTTACGAGAAAGCCCGGAGAAAGCTACTGAACCTATCAAGACCGACACGAAGAGACGACGGGTTGGGGAGGACGCTTTGATGTCATCCTCTTCTCCTAGTGGCAATTCACCGCCTATTCGCTCGCCTGCTCCTGCACCTTCTCCGACTAGAGCCGCAGAGGCTTTGCGTATTCCAATTGCTCCCACTCCGAGTAGGATGTCGTCTTCTCACAGCGCACCTCTTGCCAGCAACGGGAATGGGTTGAAAGCACCTTCTTCTGCGTCTGTAAATGGGTTAAGGTCATCAGCGTCGACGTCCCGTCTACGAGTCCCTCCGAAACCCACTACGCCAGTAGTTCCGTCACCTTTGCGTCAAGCATGGGGACAGCCCTCCTCCCCTACACCTTCATCCAAATCATCGGATTCAACAACGACATCGCAGAGAGCAACGAAAGCAGCGAGTTATATGAACGATTTGATCAAGGAAGTGACCCCGGTGAAGAATTTGGATGTAAGTAATCCGTATCAAGCTGCGAGTCCTGTGAAGATCGTTAGAAATGCGAAAGCTAAACCGAGGCCGACGAAGAGGGCTAGAGCTTCGGGCAGACCTTCTGCACCACCGGAGGGATTGACGATTAACGGAAAGGCGGATGATGGGAAGGAGAAAGAAAAAGAGAAAGGAAAGAATCTTAAGGGAAAAGAAATGGACAAGGAAAAGTATTCTGCTCAGGATATTATTCAAGCTACGTTGCCTAAGGTCTGTGGACTTGGAATCCTGACTCGTCATCACATGGAACTTACCTCAATCTCTACTCCGAACAGGGAAGCAAACGTTCTCGAGCACCAGCCAACATTGGTAAAGGACTTCCCAACGGACTCTCTGCTGCGCGTTCACCTTCC